AAAGTTAGACTATCAATTAAAAAAAAATTATAAAAAAGATGATTAAATAGAACTAGCCTTTAACTTTAAGATTTTGTATTTTAATCGCAAAAAAAAAAAATGTCTGACTTTCAGCTTGGTAAAATTTTTTACGATCATAGCCATGGTAAATATTATGTAGAAAACAATTTAGATTGGAATCGTAAATGGCATAATGTTGTTTGGTCAGATGAGTTCATTTTTAACATTAAGCAGTTTTCAGCAAGTCATAATACACAAGTTTGGCATACCTCTACTAAAGAATTTGATAATGCTAGTCTCATGTTTTGGACTTGCTTTTCATAGTATGGACTAGGGCCAATAGTCCCTATCCGTGGCAATGTAAATGGTGAAGCTTATGTTAGACTTTTAAGAAAGCATGCTATTCCTGCTATACAACGTCTAGTTCCTAACGGACCAGGTATTTTTTAGCAAGACAGTGCTTTTCCACACCGTTATTGGAAAGCTAAAGAAGCTCTCAAACAAGCTAGTATTTCTATTCTACCTTGGCTTGCCCAAAGTCTAGATATGAATCCAATGAAAAACATGTGGCATGAAGTTGAAAGACGTTTGCATAATTCTCCGGATGAGCCTACAAGTATTGATGATTTAGAGGAAAAGGTTATAGCAGCTTGGTATTCAATTCCATGCCAATATTATCGTGATGTGGTGTTTAAATGGTTCATCAGTAAAAGCATGTTATAATGCTAAAGAAGGTTAATTAAATATTTTAAATTTTGTGATCATGTATGTAACTTTAAGTCTTGCAATTGTGTAGTTTTAAGTTCTTTGATTACTGTATAATGTCATTGTAAAAGTGTTAATAAAAAAGAAACACAAAAAAAAAATTAAAAAATTTATTTTAATCCTGGTTAAAGTTAATTTTATTTAACTTTAATCCGAAATAGAAATAAAATTCTTATTTTTTTATTTAGAGGATTTCTATTTATACTGTTAGGGAGAGACTTTATAACTGTACTGCCAACTCAACTCTGGTCGTAAGTATTAAAAGTAGAAACCCAATTATTTATTATCATGCACAAGACACTAAAAGTACAAAAAAATATGATCGATGCAAGTATCTTCCTAAGAAGTGTACCAGTACACAGTAATCCTCTAAAATATCCCCTATTCCAACTAAACTAAAAAACTAAAAAAGCACTTCCTATCTGCTATCCCTATTTATATATATATTAATAGACTTAAATTAGCTATATACTATTATGCAAATATAGTATAACAATATAAAAGTCTAATTAAAGTAACCCTGTGACTACACTAAACAAAAAGCTTATTTACAAATATTACATCACAGTACCGGTGGATATACCCAAATATAAGAAGAAAAATCAAACCCCATTAATATCTTACAATTTTATTAAGAAAACTAATGTAGATACTTTAAGTAAAAATGGCCAGCACTAAATTTTAGATATAAATACAATTTTAATTCTAATATATCTTAATTTACCCTAAACCTAATATATTATACTTTTTTTCTTATACTCTGCGGTCACGGACATCAAACATGTTTTTTATTTTTATTTTTTTTATTTCTTTTTATTTTTTTTTATTTCTTTTATATTTGATTTTTTATTTTAATTTGTTTAATTTATAACTTCTTTATTTATAAC